ATGCAGTTCATCAATGGTGCTAAGGAAATTTGCTATGCTCTTCGAGCTGAAGGCTTTTGGGCTGACTTTATTGATCCATCATCTGGTTTGGCAGTGAGTAACTAGATTATTTTGCAGGTTAGATTATATAATTTGAAGTAGGAATGACTTGAGATATGTAAATTATTTATAATAATCTTGGTAAAAATAGATCATTCAAGAGTTTTTATAAAACCTTACAGTTTTGCCCAAATAAGTAAGTACTACTCTGAGTGAGTTATATTCACAATTTTTGAGGGACCTTGTTCACTCACAGTTAAGTTACTCCATCCCCTTAACTTTTTAAATTAAAAATACTAATTTCTACCCTCACAAGTAAATATTATTTTATTTGCTTTGAAATTGTATGCTTATTGTTGAAAATTTAAAGTCAATAGTTCCAAAACTATTTTTTAAATTAGGTGAAGAAAATGTAGATGTGAAATAAATATTGAGAAAAGTATCTATTTTGGAAATTAACATAAAGTTACACCTTCAAGAAATAAGTGAACAACTGTTGTGGTCACATTTTAAATTCTAGCTACATCTTTCAGTTTCAAGTAGTAACAAAGTCATTTTAGAGCTTTCATATCTTACAGTAGTACTATATACTCTTCTCAAAGTCAAATAAGATGTAGTATAGACTTAGAAATGAGAAACTTTTGCTCCGGGCCTTAGTATCCTCATCTTGAAAATGATGACAGTGAACCATAGTTGATTGTCACAGATTCATTCTATCCTTATAGGTCATGTAATGTTATGAGTATGGTTTTAGGTAATGTGAGATTTGCTAATCATTTCCCATTTCCAGAAGTTCAAGTACTGGGGGAGTGGGGTGGTTAGGTATTTTATGTCACCTTTTTGTTGTTGTAGTTATTTGATTTGGGGGGGGGTGTGTTTTGTTTTGGACAGTGTCTTTCTTGCTAATGACAGTGTAACTTCATTTTTCATTTCCTCCAGTTTTTTGGACCATACACAAACAGTACTCTTTTTGAAACTGATGAACGCTATCGACATTTAGGATTTTCCATTGATGATCTTGGCTGCTGTAAAGTGATTCGTCATAGTCTTTGGGGTACCCATGTGGTTGTAGGTAGTATCTTCACTAATGCAACACCAGACAGCCATATTATGAGGAAATTAAGTGGAAACTAGAAGTGCTGTCAATGTATGCTGTACTACCTGTATATAATATTTGGGTTGATCTGTAAACACTGTCTAAATGTTCAATTTTTAAAAATATACTTATTTCTAGGTATTTATTTCAACATTCATGAATTAACAGCATTGGCAAGTGATTTCTAGTTTTTAAATCACAGCTGTTCATTGTTCATGCTGTCATTATTCATACTTATTGATTATATGTTGAGCTATAGAATGTGGTAATTAACATATAACTAGGGTATGGTCTTGAATATTGTTATTTCTCCCCCTTATTGGAAAAACCTGTTACAATTATTTTTCTCCAAAAATAAATCACACATTCAGTTGAAATGATACGTGCTTTTTTCATTGCAATACTTTTTAAATATAGTTCTTAATGATTCCTGAGAAACTACAATATTAATATTTTTAAATTGTGTACCTTTTTTAATAAATGCAATTGAGAACTCTAGATTTAGTGTATATTTTCTTATTTCTTTATTATCTATTAAGTGTTCTAGCACCAATCAGAAATGATAGATGTGTGCAGGAAAAGAAGAATAAGGGTAATATTACATCTTTATGTATAAAAGCTTATGAATCTCATCCTTAACACATCCACCTATTCCTTACTTAAACTGTCTAGATATCTGACATTTTGCATTTATGACAATAGTAAAAAAAATCCACTGACTTGCACATGAAAGAGACAGTCGGCATGGCAGCAAAAACTGCAGAGCATCTCCTCCCTCAGGGAGGGTCTCTGAGTGTCCTCTAGAAAGCTGGGCTAAGCTGCCGTGTACCCTGCACTCCCCTCAGTCAATGGGGCACCATGTCAAGCTACTGCTTGGGGCCAGCCTCCTTCTTGGCCACAGCCTCCCAGCAAATGCACAGGCAGCATCCAGCCAGTAGGTGGCTATTCTGGGTTCCCAGTTCTTAGGTAGTCTGAAGCACTGCAGCTCAAAACTGACGTAGTGTGGAAAGGGAGGAAAGAAAGTAAAGGCATCAGAGAGAATGTTTGGAAGAAATACGTACAAGTTTAATGACATCCTTCAGTGGGGCCAGTTGCAAGGCCAGGCTCCTTGTACCCTCAGAGGAAGCCCCAAGCTTCAGTAACTTGCCAGGCTCAGAAGACAAAACAAGCTACAGGATCTTAAACACAGGGTTCGTGGGGATGGGAGTGGAGCCCTGGAAGCAGCTCTGTGAGGGAAACTCTTGCCCGGCACAGGAGGCAAGTGAATTGGTTAAGCCATGGGCCTCCAGGAGTCAAGCCGTGGGCCGCCAGTCACAAAGCCTGACTTTATCCAGCCTGGTCTCCCCAAATCTCCACAGAGGAAAAGTCCATAAATAGACTCATCACAGTGATGAGTATATCAGTTGCATAATGACCTGGTCTTTATTGACCTAACTATGTCAGTAAGTAAGAAGTGGATATACTCAGTGAAACTTACGAGAGTAAAACTCAATGGGACTGTCTTGTTCTCTGGGTCTTGGGAGTTTTCCACCTTTGACAGGGTGCAGTCTTACCACATTTTTCTCTCCTTTTAGTGGAAAATATTTGTGTTTTCCTTTTCTGATAGATTTCTGCCTTACACAGGTTCTGGCTTTTGCAAATTTTAGTGTATTCAAAGAATAATGCCCAGTTAACTCCTGGATTGAGGCAGAGCAATACTGTTTAGTTTCACACAAAACTAGGCCTTAGTTGCTAAATCATATTTCTCTAATTTTAACAGTACGTTAAAACTGATTTATAAATTTGCCTCATTTGTGACAGCTGTTTTTTATAACAAGGAGAGAAAAATGTAGTAAGGCCACACCCTATCAAAGGTGGAAAAGTTGCAAGACCTGGAAAAATAAGGCAGTCCCGTTGAGTTCTAGCTCTCACATGTTTCACTGAGTACATCCACTTCTTATTGACATTGTTTTGGTTAACTAGTGCTGCTGTAACAGAAATAACAACACAAATGGGATGGCTTTAACAAACAGGAGTTTATTCTCCTACAGTCTTTCGAGGCTAGAATTCCGAGTTCCAAGTGCCAGGCTCTAGGGGCTGTTTGAAATTCTCTCAACCTTGGGCTTCAGTTCTGCCTTTTGCTCCCAGCCCACTGAAGCTGGAGGCTTCTCTTAGGCAGCTGCTGGCTGCTGAGGCTGACAAAACCAAGGTTGACAAGTGAAAAGGCTCAGTCCCAATGTTAGCAAACAACACAGCAGGCCTTTAAGTCAAATCCATTGAAAGTCCAAAGGTTGGCAGAGCATGGCAGGCTGCTGAACGATGACACAGCTACATGGAGGGTTCAGGCATGCCACTAGCTGGAGACCATTCCCAAAGCTGGTCCTTATATATGGGAAGCAGACCACATCTCTAAAGCAGCTACTCAGCTGCTCACAGTAGATTCCACCATGGAGTTGATTGCCAGTCTCCTCTTGGGGAATAACTACCACCAGCTGCCCAGCCACTCAACCAGGCCCAGCCAAGTAGACACACAAACAACTATCACAATTACAAACTTAAAAAGAATCATCTTCCATTAGGGAGGCTATTGCCAATAAGAATAGTGACAGATCAAGTAACTTGAACCAAATGAATGATTTGAAGTGGATTTTTTCTATTTTTTTAAATTAAGTTCCTATTTTAAAAAGGAAGACATGACCAGCTTTTTAGTTTACAGCTTAAAACTGCTTAATTAACAGCTTGATAGTAAGTGTTGCTTGTGATTAAACCAGAGTCCCTGGGTGATGTAAACAGTTAAACACTCAGCTGCTAACTGGAAGGTTGGCCGTTGGAGTCCATCCAGAGATACCTTGGAAGAAAGGCCTGGTAATCAGACATTGCAAACCCTGTGGAAGCATAATTCTACTCTGGCACACTTGGGGTTGCCATGAGTCCAAATCGACTTCACAGCAGCTGGTTTTAGTTTATGATGGAAAGAATAAGAGCTACAATTTTCATTCATTATGAAAAAGGTGACATACTGAATGTTTCCCATAGCTTTTTGAAGAAATTTTATTGAAGTATCGTGTATGTGTACATATGTTTGTGTATAGAACGACATTTATCATAAGTGTTCAATTTGAGGCTATGTAACCAGCATTCAGATCAAGACACTGAACGTTACTGCAACTCCAAAGGCCCTTTATGCTCCCTTGCAGGCAATAATCCTCACCCCTTCCTTGTCCCTTCCTCGCCCCTGCCAAGGGTAGCCACTGCCCTGATTTCCTACAGCATAAATTGGTTTTGCTTGTTTTGATGCTTTATATACATGAAACATGGTATGTCCACTTTTGTGTCTGGCTTCTTTCATTCCACATTGTGACATTAATCGATGTAATACCTGTTTGCATAGCAAGCATTTGCCTTCTCAGTGGTTCTTAGGAGCAATTTTACCCTTCGGGAAATATGGCAGTGTCTTAAGGAAGGTTGGGCAATCTACTTCTGTAGTGATACTGTCTCAGAAACCTAAGAAGGGGTCGGTCGCTATGTGTCAAGTCTGACTCCCCGGCACATAACAACAACAACAAAAGACTTTCAATTCTCACACTGTGGGGTGCTCATGGCATCTGTAAGTCCAGTGATGCTGCTGATTGCTCTGCAGTGCATAGGACAGCTTCTCAGAACAAAAATTTAGTCCATTGCCTCACACCACTCTCATTGATTCTGATGTGTATATTGTGCATTCAAACATTTCTTACCTAGTCCCATTCTTTAAGGAGCCCAGGTGGCACAATGGTTAAAGCACTCAGCTCCTAACTGAAAAGCAGGCAGTTGGAACCTACCAACTGCTCTGCAGAAGAAAGATTTATAGCCTTGGAAACCCTATAAGACAGTTCTACTGTGTCCTATGGAGTCGCTCTGAGTCAGAATTGACTCTGGCAATAAGCTTGATTTTGGGGTTTTTGCCACTCTAAACTTCTTCCCTTGAAAAGTAAACATTTGTCTTAATTCTGATATGCCATCTACTGGTTGAAAAGGATACTTATTTCCTATACAGTGGCTTTGTACTGTGTTACGTGCAGAGGAGAGTACTTGGTTGTGGGGTTCCTTTTATCATCTTGCTTTCTGACAGGATTTCCAGAAACAAACAGCATGATGAGAAGTAACTGCCAATTACAAAATTTTTTTCCTGAAGTGGTATGGCAAGTTCACATTTATGGAGATACAACTCAAGGGATTCTTGTAACTCACACCTTGTAACTCAGTAGTAAAAAGTAGTTTACCATTTTGTACTGCAGTAAGGGAACACCCAGTTGTTGTTTTACCACATTCACTTTGTTGGGACCCCATGAACAAAAAGGAATCTGTAAAATTATCATCTTAAATATAAATTTGCTATCTTTTAAAACAGGTTTGAAACAAATTGATACAAGTCTGTTACTGAAACACATTTTTGTGAAATTTGTATTTTGAAAATAAGGAATTTTTGCATGGAAGTTAAGTGCTAGACTTCAGATCATCTAGCTCACATTTGTTAAAACAGAAGACAATGGGAAACACAGGTGTGTACATCAGGTCACACAGCTGACGTTACGACCTAGCACCGGAACTTGCTGGGATTCTATTACAGTTTGTTTTTGTTTTTGCTGTATTGTTGCTTCATAGCCGTTATGAAGAAGTCTATTACATTTCTGATTAAAAATCCCATAGTCAGAATTTAAGCTGCGAGAACTTTAGGGTTATCTAGTACTGCTGCCATGTAAATAAACAGGAATTCATTTTGTTGAATTCTTCATGTACTGAATTACTTTGTAAATTTGCTGAAACTTAAAAAATTCAACTATAGAAATTCAAGCAGTATTTCCCTGGCTTAAGGTTTAAAACCTTCATGTCTGTTTTAGACTTGTGTCACTTAAAACATCAACCAAATCTTTTCATTTGAACAAAACTCTGATTTTTGTTCAAACTATTTTGTCTCCTTATGCCACCTTAGCACTATTTACATTTTGAAGTACAAAATTCTTTGTTGCAGGGGGCTGTCCTGCGCATTGTAAGACATTTAGCATCATCCCTGACTTCTAGCCACTAGATTCCAGTAGCAACCACTGGTCATGACAATCAGAAATTTCTTTAGATTTTCTCTGGGGGACGAAATGTTTTTTTGTTTCTGTATGTGTGCATGGGTGTGTTTTGTTCTTCTTGTGTTGTTTTGTGAATTTGTGAAATCTAGGGTTGTCAGATTTTGCAAGTATTTTTAAGAATCTAGTTAAATTTTAATTTCAGATAAACAACAACTTTGTACTATAGGTTTGCTTATACTATATTATTTATTAAAATTATGTCCCAAATACTGCATTTTTTGTGTGTAAGTATGCTACCCACAACGTACCCAAATACTGCATGGGACATACTTATCTTAAAAAT